CAGCTTGTCCAGATGGGCAGAAGTAAAGAGGGTGAGGTGGGCCTATGATCACTCAAACATCAAAAGTGGAGTCCGACTCCTTATTGCCATTCACCCCTAAAGGTTGACTGATGACTGAAATGAAGCAGGTTTCACTTAATTGAACTTGAACTTGTTTCAGAAATCACTATGGTGCTCTTTGAGATCTGAACCCGGAGACTGGTAAGGGGGATGGAAGTTTCATCGACTGCCTTTTTAAAGAGCCCAGTGTTGTGTATTCTAAGAAGTGAAATGAGTGACTTTATCACTATTGATAATACCTGAAACTCTAAAAGTGGTAAGAACTGTTTGGTGAGATCTTGTAGCTTTAGTACACTCAGAAATATGTGTGATCTTGATTTATATTTTGGGTAATTGTGAAGCAACAATGAGTTTTTTTCTTTTTACCAGGAAGGAATGTAGTGACTACTTTAGATATGGTTGTTGGTTGCCTAGTTTAGTGACAAAATAATTTTAAAATTGTCCACTGATTTTTACTGTGTGAAACTTTATTATTTACTAAAAAAAAAAATAACATTGCTCTAAGAATATAGCTATTTGCCCTTCTTTATAAAGTGAAATGGATTCATTCACATCTATTAGAGATATCAATATTTTTAAATGTTTTTCCCTTTTCTTAGTTACCTCTCCTCTCTTAAACATTTTTTTTTTTTTTCTATATTAGGCAGGAGGGACAGTGAGAATGAAAGGACTTCTCAATTTCTGCCTCAGTTCTCTCCACCCATAATAGCTTCAGGAGACATCTAATTTCTACCTGGAAATTTTCTTGCATTTTTTTGTTGTTATTACATTTTTCTTTCTTTTATTCTTCCCCTATGTGTGATCATTTCCATTAGATCTTTATAGTTTCTGAGAGCTGCATTGTCTGAGATTCTTGGTGACTCATTAATTGCTTGCCTTGCTCTCAGCCAGGGTCCATTTTCCTTCTTAGGTTTATTATCAGGGTTTCTCATACATCATCTGGCTGTTTTATTCCAGGAAGAAAGTAACGCTGCTCTTGCCTACTTACACGGGGTGAGTCAGACCCACATAAAGGTGAACGAAATTGACATTTTTAATGGGCTGAAAGCCTGAAGAACTTTGCAGGCTTCGCTGTATTCTTTTTAACTTTGAGTGTTGGTGACAGGTCCTAGTGCTGCAGGGGTCTGTTGCCTGTGTATACGAAGCCTCATTAGATAAGCTTGAAAGTTAGAAAATAACTTAAATAGAGAAGTAGCACACAAAAATAGCCATTGTGATTTTCTTTATTCACAATGAATACAAATTTTTTGTCTGCTTTGTATGATTACATAAATACCGTTGGTTTATTTTAACACACTGCAAAATTTCAGTAGGACAAAATAAAAATAATAGAATGATTTACTTTGAGACTTCTGTAATTAACATTATATTTTTATTGATGATTCTATTTTTATTGATCATTTCTAATGTGTGTGTGTGTGGTATACAAAGTGTGTGTGTGACATTTGTGTTTTTATATGAGATACTTACTTTTATAAACATTTATTTTCTTTTCCCTAGTTTTCCCATTCCAACTATCATCTCTAGAAAAATATACTTAAAAATAATAACTTGTGAACATTCCATGAATACTTCCAAGCTCCTCTTATTATATGCAAATATTTTAATAATAGTTGTTTTATCATCTGAATGGATTGTTTTATATAAAAATATTTAATTTTATATACACAATAGCCTAATATTCACTAGTATCATTGTACTGACATCATTTATAAAACTACATTCCTAAGGAAAGGTGCTTTTTCTCTAAAAAAATAATTTCTCTGTAGAGTCATTGCTCAGCCTAACTTTATATAAAATTTTAATTAATGTTCCATTGCCCACCTGGTTTTAAAAATGGCTGTGACAACTCTATGAAAATGAGTGATATGGTTTCCAATATGTGATATAACGGAGACTTGAGTCTATTACATTGATCTTTGTCAGAATTTCTTACCGAGAAGGAACATTTCACAATAAAATTACACAACTCCCAGAAAAAGTGATTTGCTCTTGTGAACACATACATAACTGTATAACTGAAGACAGAAAAGTCTCTCAATGTTACAAGTAACTTTTAATTTGGAAATAGATAAATTGAGTTTAAGGTAAATAGCTGTTGAAATTTTATTAAAAATCTATACGACATCAATTCCTGTAAATGGACTCATTTTTTAATAAAGGAAATTTTTTACATAGCAGTTTTCTCAGTGCCATTATGACATCCTTGTTCCTGAAACTGTATACCAGGGGGT